AAAAAACCCAACCGAATCGAACAAATCGTGTTAATAGCTGACTGAATGATCGTCTGAGTCTGAATTATGTAACTTCCACGGAAATTGTTGATATTGTTATTTTACTCGAGCATAAAAAAAATTTGACAGGCTTTTAGCGCTGTTTTGAAAAAAATTTGGCAATACTTAGAAAACAACAATTCTGACACTCAGAGGAAATCGTATTCTTTAAATAAGCGGTGATTATAACTTTTGAATTCATTCCGCCAAAAAAAAAGTTTAGGGAATTTTCTTAGTGCTATTTCGTGGAGGAGTAGGCGATTTATTTTGAAGCTATGTCGGGTTGATCATATCGTGAACATTTTCTGACTGACTAACCTTCACAGGATCCCAGCGGTATAATTTGTGCTGTCCATCGTCTTTGCATGGTCCTTCATTTTCTACAAAACAATGACCCTTAGAACACGAGGTTTCCTCGGCCTGAGTGGCGCTGTGTTCGCTTGCAAATCCTCGTTGAAAAACTGCAACCACTATCAAAATTAAACCAGGAAAATTTGCTCTCATGTTGTACATATATGTATATATTTAAAAAGCTGCTTCCTTTTGACTAGATAAACCAAATTTTCTATTACGTCGTGAACGTAGAAACGTTCCACACAAAGCAAGAGAGCAAGTTTCGATTACAGCGAGTAATAAAAGAAGTTTACAATGAGGAATCAATAATTAATTGGGTCCAAGCAAAATTTTTGGTGGTGTTTTGTAAAATAAAGAGAAGATCTTAGAGACACCCCCTGTGTGCCTTTGGCTGTCTTTTGATGATGGTCGTTGTTAAACTAACAGGTTTTGAGCCAAGGCCATGTGCGTTTGAAATTGGTTTCCATGGCAACCAATTGTGGGTCGATTCCTTTTCCTTTTTGGCCATTTGATCTCTAAGAAAGTAAGATCTGGTCAAGAGGACGACAGAAATCCAATGGAGAGATTTATGATAGCAACAGCTAAACGTCTGTCACAGTTTTTAATTGATGGTGTCATCTCAATTTTCAATTTTCCGATTTTATTCATAATTTCATACCATTTCAATTGCCTGAGTTTTCTTGATAAGAGTTACTAGTCGGAAAATATTCACCGTGGCTCATGATAAATTCCAAGTCGTAGTTAAAGATCAAGACATGATGACCTTCAGTTATTAGTCTGTGACAAAAGTACGCTTAAAATAAGAGATTCCAATCACGTAGAAAGGAGACGAACCAACCTACGACCCTCATATGAGTTCATGACAATAGAAACTCCTGGTCGCTCAGAGACCAGTTATATATCGTCCACAATAAAATGATAAAGCGAAGTAGATTTATGGTGCGTTTTCGATTTCGAAGGGTTAAGAACATTGGAAATTTTGAAAAAAAAAAAAAAAA